CMMMAAAAAAAYSCAAACCAAAATGATTTCAGTGGTTTTGTGATTCCTTTACCAGGGGTCCTGATTCTGAGAAATCCATCAGTGAAAAAAAAACCACCATTTCACCTGATACTGATGGTAACTCTGAATATTGTGCTTTAATACACTGAACACCCTTAATTTACATCTCCTTTTTCATATCTGACAATCAAAACTATCAGGCAAACACCACACTTTGATTATGAAAATTTCACATGACAATCAAAATTATCAAGCAAACACCACACTTTGATTTTCCCATTTCTGGAGCTGCTCCAAGGCCAGGTTGGATGGGGCTTGGAGCACCCTGGGACAGCAGAAGCTGTCCCTGCCCACAGCAGGGGATGGGAAGTGGATGGGATTTAAGGTCCCTGCCCATCCAGAACATTCAAATGATGCCTTAGGATTTTTTGTTTCTATATTTTCCTGCATCTGTATTCTTGTATTTCTCCAAAACTACCGTTCTCCCATCTTTAGACAAAACAATTCCTCTCTGAGCCTGAATCCAAGGACACTTCGCTGCCTCAGAGCCCCAAAATATGGAAACAACAGAGAACTGGGGAAAGTAAGTTTGGGGTGTTGACATCACCTGAAAAGATCATTGGAGAATTAAGGCCCAATATGTTAAAAAGGCAGAATTTATAAAAGGTGAAGATCTCATGACTCGGGGTCCATTTTGGGTGTAGCCTCAGGAGGAGGCTTTGTCTACCCTAATGTACCAGGGGGCTGTTAGACCTGGATTAAAGTTGTCTATTCTCATTCTCTTAACTTTGTCTTGCCTCTATTTCAGCTGAGCCTGATTGATAAAGCATCACCACAATGCTGTGACTACACCAGAGCTGGCACAGGAGAAAATGAGGAACAGAAAACAAAAGGAAGGTGATGGCAGAGTGACACTGGGGTTGATGTCTTAGGATTTTTAGTTTCTATATTTTCATGCGTCTGTATTCTGGTACTTCTCTAGTATAGCACTAAAAACTACCGTTCTCTCATCTTCAGACAAAACAATTCCTCTCTGAGCCTGAATCCAAGGACACCTCAGAGCCCCAAAATATGGAAACAACAGAGAATTGGGGAGGGGAGCACGTTTGGGGTGGTTGAAATCATCATCTGTAAAGATCATTGGAGAATTAAGGCCCAATATGTTAAAAAGGCAGAATTTATAAAAGGTGAAGATCTCGTGATTCAGGGTCTATTTTGGTGTAGCCTCAGGAGGAAGCTTTGTCTGCCCTAATGTACCAGGGGGCTGTTAGGCCTGGATTAAACTTGTCAATTCTCATTCTCTTAACTTTCTCTGGCCTCTATTTCAGCTTAGCCTGATTGATAAAACATCACCACGATGCCGTGACTGCACCAGGGCTCGCACAGGAGAAAAGGAGGAACAGAAAACAAAAGGAAGGTGATGGCAGAGTGACACCAGACACGGGGGGTGACACGAGGGGACACGAGGGGACACCGTACCAGCATGTCGGTGGCGTTGAGGTAGCGCTTGCTGGCCATGCACTGCTCCAGTTTCTGGGGCACCTGTTTGATGTTCTCGATCTCGTCCAGCAGGTTGAGCACGTGCTTGTGCTCGATGCCCTCGATCCACAGCTTGCGCAGCTCGTCCCGTTTGCAGTGCAGCAGCATCTTGCAGGAGAGCAGGTTCTCCTTCACCTGCAGCAGCGAGGAAAGGGTTCATGAGATCTGTTCCCAATGGCTGAGAGCAGCCCTGCCCCAACTTCACTTTATTGGGAACTCTGAAATATCACAGGGCTAAAACCAAATTTAATTTGCTTCATCGTGCTTTGCTGAAGGGAACTCTATGGACCATAAAAAAGGAACTCTTTTCATTGTGAAACATTATTTAATGCAAGTTTTACACCACCTGTGAAAATTTAACAAGTAGCACAAATTGAGCCAACATCAGATCCTTTTAACCACAACCATTTCCCAAAAACCAACTCAGTGCTTTGGCAAATTGCAAAAATCCCATTTTAGGTGGAAGCAAATAAGCCCCCACTAATTTTCCTGCTGTAAATATTTCCATCTGTCCATTAAATCTTTTGACAGTCTCCTCCTTTCTCCAAGCTGGGTGTCCTTGCTCTGAAACAACACCAGCTAAGACTAAAACCATTCTCCCAATAATTTGAACAACACAAATTTTTTAGAAGATTTAATCAGAATATTTATGAGTTCAAATCAGCATTTTCATTATTTATCAAGGCCATAACAAACCCTTTGGTGTTGCCATTCAGTTTGRTTTTGAGCTTCATCCAAGTGGCAAAACCTCTAATTTTTCCCCCTTCAAGAGTTTTTTTTCTCCATTCTCTGTGCTCACAGCATTCCCTCCTTTCAGGTTCTCCCAGTATTCCCTGGTAAGGTCAGTGTAACCTAGCTTCTCCTGCATAATGCAAATCAACAATCCTTATTAAAATGTGGAAGCAATTAGCAGCACAGCTTCGTACGTTGCTTTCACACCACTCTTGTTTTGTGATAAGTTATGAATACTCGGGGCCCAACCTTTTCTCAGGCTGAACTCTCACTGAATTACACATGAAGAGAGACACTCAGAAGAAGCCCTTCAATTTATTTTTAAATAATGAGCCTTTAAAGCACTCCACAAATCCCACTTGAGCTGCACTTTCTCCTACCTTGTTCACCTGAAGGCAGTTTAAAAAAAAAATATACATGTGAAAAACACATCAATGAACCAAAACTGGACACTGGGAAATAACAACAGCTCTGTAAAAGAGCCTCAGTCCAGAGTTTGAGATTCAAATAGTGCACTCCAAAATGTTCTTCTGAAAAAAGAAACATGGAAAAATCCTCAGCCAACAAAAAAAACTCATCTAAGATGTCATAAAAAGCAGAGGGAAATTAAAACACACACCAAGTTCGTTTCAGATGGAATCCCTGTTCAATACATTAATTGGAAAAGTTTCACTGACCTGGCACAGCATCATCAGTGGACTGCAGCTACARAGAGCCAAATTAGGTCAGCAAAACAACCATGGGGCCAGAAGGAATCTCACCAGACATCCCTACTCCTGTCCTTGCAAGAAAGATCATCAACTSTACCCACACCTGGGAGCAGGGGAAGGAATGAACAGCARATCTTWAAAAAAWAAAAAAAYCCTCCCCTTGGTAACCCAAATCGGTTCTACTCGTAATTCAGTTTTACAGTGGCAACTCCTCTGTAGCTAAACTCAGAACTAAACCCTTCCCACCAGGAATTCACACAAGAATTGACTACAAAGGCAGATGCACAGAGGGATCTGGAGTATCTRTCCCTGGTAGAGTTCCTGTTCAAGTGAACTCCCACTTTSCACAGAGRGGAACACAAAAAGCAAGTGGAACAYAGATGGATGACAAACCAGAGCTGGGCTTTCTGTAAGATTAGGTCAAAATCACTTCAATAAATATTGACCAAAACTAATAAGAAAACTTAAATACCAAAAGGTCCCTCACCTTTGCAGTGGTTCCTCTAGCTGGGACCCAAAGGTCACAGCACTCTCTGTTTGGTTTGACCTCTGCAAAGCTTTGCACACCGTGTGAACACAGACCACTGCCTGGAGTTGATTTCAAATTCAGTGGAATTGATCTCTGCTTTCACAGTGCTGAGCTKGGTCCATAAATCCTACAATGAACTCTTACCCTTGGAAAGCATCAGAACGCTCTCATTTTCTTTGAAAATGTTAAATGAATTTAGAAGTCAGAAGGGTCAGTATGTAAACATGTAAAGGTAAAAACCCAACTGCTCCTAAAGGGAGGGAAAGGTTTTAAGTTGAGACTTTCACAGAACCAGGAAAAGAAATAAAGAAAAAAAGATAAATTTGGTGCCTGGTTTGCAAAGTTTAGGCACAGCAAATTACACAGGAATACAAGATAGGAGCCCTAAGAATTAATCTGTTGCTGCAGGGACAGAGCAGCTCAAACAAGTCCCCAGCCACGAGCGCCAGTTATTTACTGGCACTGTACCCAAGTGTGAACACTCAAAATGCAGAAAGATTCGGGGGCAAAGAGTTCAAGACATTCACACAACACAGCTGAGCTTGGAGACAGCACTGAAATTCATATTCTGGGAGCAAAAAGCAAGTTGATGAATCACCCAGACTATCCAGGAGGTGGCTGGAGGCCAAGACAGCAAAACATGAAAAGATGAGATGGAAAGGTGTGAGCTCAGCAGCCCTGGAGACTTCAAAAACCTGAGAGCAACATGCCCAGACAATAAATGAACAGGGGCTCTGCAAAGCTTTGTGCTTCACATCCACCTCTCACTCTGATTTTGAACTGCTTCTGTTCTCACAGAGATCCTGCAGAAAACACTGTTAGTGAGACACAGCTTGGGATGGAGACACAGGGACTGGATGGTCCTGGAATGACACAGTCACTGGGGGTGAGGTCTGGCTTAGGATTAGAATCATGCAAAGATGTGGGGTTGAAGGGGGCTTAAAGCTCATCTCCTTCCCAGCCCTGCTATAGGGACAGCTCCCACTGTCCCAGGGTGTTCCAAACCCCAATGTCCAGCCTGGACTTGGACAGGGATCCAGGAATTCTCCAGGAATTCCATCCCAGCCTCTCCCCATCCTCCCAGGCAGGAATTCCCAATTCCCCAGATCCCACCCCAATCTCCCCTTTTCCACTCTGATCCATTCCCTGTGTCCTGTCCCTGCAGCCCTTGGCCCCAGTCCCTCTCCAGCTCTCCTGGAGCCCCTGGAATGTTCTGGAAGCTCTC